TCAAGCAATTAGACAACGCAAAGAAGAACCTTACACTATCGATGACGGCGCTTAAGCGCCTGCAAATGCTGACTACGGCGTATGACCAGCTCCAAGCTCTCAGTCGGACGCGACAGTATGGAGAATGTGCACAGCTACTCCAAGCTGTCATTCAGCTCATGGCCCATTTCAAGTCGTACCGATCGATTGACCAAATCGCAATGCTCAGTCGGAATGTCGCGGACATACAACGAGACCTCCAAGAGCAGGTCTGTGAGGACTTCGAGCTGGCCTTCGCCAAGGGGGAGGTAGGCTCGAAGCGTGCGATGCTCGCGGAGTCGTGTCTAGTCGCAGATGCTCTGGGTGAGCACGCACGGTCCCGACTGGTGACTTGGTATTGCAATACACAGCTCCGCGAATACCGGCAGGTCTTCCGGAACAATGAGGAGGCTGGATCATTGGATAACATCTCCCGCCGATATTCATGGTTCCGGCGCATATTGAAAATATATGACGAAGAGAATGCGGCTATCTTCCCGGCTTCGTGGAGGGTAAATGAGGTATTAGCCAATGTCTTCTGCGAGGGTACACGGGATGATTTCAAGGGTATCTTATCCCGATCTGTACGCAGCGGGCAGACGATCGATGTGAATTTGCTCCTCTCGTGCTTGCAAGAGACACTCGATTTCGAGCATTCTCTTGAGCGCCGCTTCGCCCCTTCGTCGCGTGTATCTGTTGATACATTTGCCTCTGCCGAACCGCCTGTATTCAAAGAGTCAATTTCCGAAGCCTTCGAGCCATACCTCAGTGTCTGGGTCGAGGCTCAAGACAAACAACTCGCAGCCCTGCTACCGAAATACCGCCAGCAACCTCTCAAAGTACCGGACGAGGAGTTCAACTCGCATATTGTGATTTCATCTTCGACTGAGCTTTTCACTTTCTATCGGCACGCTTTGCAACAATGTGCTAAGCTTTCAACCGGTGGCAGTCTAGCAGAGCTGGCCAAGGTGTTCGCCAAATATCTAGACCGATACGCCCAGGAGGTCCTTCTCAATTATATAAGTGAACGACCAACACTTCACACGCCGTCTAGGGTGCCATCGGTAGAGGATTACGTCTCAGTCTTGAACACTGCTGATTACTGCTATACGACTTGCTCCCAACTGGAAGAGAAGATTAGGGGTAGATTGGATGAGAACCTGAAGCAATCCGTGGATCTGCAAAGCCAGGCGGACTCTTTCATGGGCATTGCGTCTGCTGCAGTACGAGGCCTTGTGCGACAAGTCGAAGTTGATCTCGAGCCCTCCTGGCGCGAAATGCGCAATACACCTTGGTCTAAAATTGAGGCAGTCAGTGATCAGAGCTCATATATGGGCGAGATGCTCTCCCGGACGAAGGAGAAGGCAACTGGGATTTTACAGTTGTTGCATAAGCAGCAATATGCGCGTGCCTTCTCTGATCATCTGGTGGAGCTCATGTCGAGCCAGTTCATTAGCAATGTCTTCCAATGCAGACCGCTTTCAGAAACTGGCGCAGAACAGGTATGATGTCCCTTCGGCGATGTAATTGTATATCTTACTAACTCCATTCATAGATGCTTCTCGATTCGTATACTCTCAAAAGCGGCCTTTCATCCCTGCTACCTGCTCCAGCGCCCGCCGGCTTTGTCAAGCGTGTGAACAGCAGCTTCTTCAAAATCGAAACTCTCCTCAAAACCCTCCAGGTCCGGCCGTCACCACCGGAAGCTCTTGTGCAAGCATACCTCATCCACATTGCTGACCGCAACAACACCAACTTCCGCAAAATACTTGATCTCAAAGGCATCCGCAGCCGCCAAGATCAAAATCACCTTGTGGAGCTTTTTAATCTTCACCGTGCATCAGATCGCTATGCATCCAGCCTTCAACAGAGCAACCCAATACTCGCCGCTCTCCAAGGACCATCTACTACCACCACCGGTTCCGTATCTCAAGGCCTAGGTCTAGGCAGTGCCGCCGCGGCCATGCCCTCTCGTTTTGACGCCTCCATGCTCGGCTCTGCCATCATGTCCGCTGCCAAAGACGGTGTCGACCGCTTCGGAAACCCCAATCTGAGTATGGGTCCTGGTGCGGCTGGGGCTACTGGGACAGCTACATCTACATCTGGCGTAACCAGCCCATCAGGCACCTTATCCCCTTCCCTGGCCAGCTCCAGCCTACAATCGAATCCCATGCACACGCCAACAGAAAGCACCACCGGAAATCTCAACGAGAATCTCAAGAACATTGGTAAATTCTTCCGCCGCGATCTCGGCGGTTTTGGCGGCCGGTTCGGGCGGAGCAATGAGGATGGGGTGTAGCTTCTCCCCATCTATTTTCATTACGTCTTCTATTTTTTTCTGGTTCTGTTTTGACTCGGGCGTGGAGACACCATTGTAAAAATGTTCTTTGCCGTTTCGGTTGATTTGTCCGAGCCATTGAATGCCCGAAGGAGTAGCTTGTTTATGTATCAGAGCGCCCTGTGTTGACCTTATGTTTTGCAGTTGTATACCACTTGGATTGAATGCATTAAATGCGACATCTGTGTTATTTGGATCTAATTTGTCTATATTCTTCTAGTACACATATCCCCTGGTGTGGGACAGTTTGGTTCGAAAATATTTATTCTCTTTTAGTCCACGTCCTTCTAATGACATGGCTCTACAAAATATAATATCTATATCTCTTCTCCATAGTCACCCACAACCCCTCCCTTTTCCTATTCCAAGAAAACCCCAACTCGGCAAAACATGAATTCCGCAACCTCCCAACCCCGGGGACATACCCTCCGCACCCACCGACATGTAACCCTATACGAAGAAGAACAGGGCTGGGCACAAATGGAAGCACTAGTATTTAAAGTGGTGCAGAATTCCTCGACAACTACGACGCATCCACAGACCGATGCTAGATCTTCGAGCGCAACGGCGTTTCTCGGCCGTATAGTAATATGCAAGTCAGAAACAGACTACAAGAAATGAGATATAGATGAAAGTCAACAGGTGAGTTTCAGCTGGCCTCTCACCCATTTAGAGTTAAATCCTCTAAAATCTTGGGTCAAAGTCCTCAATTATAGTAGGACCCTGGACGGTATGTCTTAAACACATGTGAAAACCCTGCGCCAACCTGAGCTTCTGCGTCCTCAATAAACGCAGGAGTAAGCGTGATACATCCAGTACATCTTACAAAAATAATCAGACCTCAAGGATGATTCCTCTTTGCGTGTACCTGCGGTCTGCTCCTCCGCCTCTTCGCGCATTCGTAAGAGATCTGCCCGGTTTTTGCTCATACCACTCGATATCCTCTGGATAATTCGTTACGCGCCCTAGGAATCGCTCAAGAACACAAGCAACATATGCATTCTCAAAAACCCTTCCTCCTTGAGGACTAGCGAGTGGGGTCCAATAACTTTAGAAATATCCACGGATTCGTTCCAGAGCGTTTGCGTTGTAGATCGTGCGGGTCTATACCCCGTCCGTACCTTTTTATGCTTTATAGCCGGTGGCGTACCGGCAGAGGGAGTCTAGAAGTAGTGGGTCGAGGATACATAGCATCAATTTGTTACTACGTGGGCTAGGCGGGCGCGTACATCTGCAACCCCTCTCTAGCGCGGTTATAACAGTAGGGTTAACATTCGATCTATAAGCGACAGAGATGGCAGGTAGGAAAGAATAGCGAAAATGCGATAATCAAAACAAATTCTCTGCGTAACGTCCCAAGATTCAACCACTGGCGAATGAGGCGTTTGCGCCGCTGGTCGAATAGTTTGTTATGCGAGTCTAGATAAGCAGTATCCCATTATTCCTAGAAATGGGAATCGAGTTGATAGCGCATGAAACATTAGGAGAGGAGTCACATATACTGTATAGATGTCGAGTGGAAGAGCCCCCTATGCGGGAACCCGACGTTAGATATAAGGGGGCATTGTGGCGCATATCTACGTCACAGAAACGGAGAGAGACTGACTGAAGCATTGGAGTTATCAAGTCCTTTGGCGATGACTCTGGTGGGAACAAATGATGGCCTTTTCCGGACTGAACCTAGGTCCCAGGGCTGGTCAATAGGTTAAAGAAGGGTGTAAATTGTAGGATAGCTGTGGATTCTCGAAAGACTTCTTCTGTGCTGACTGTTTCAGGCTGCCTCTTCGTCTCCATTCAGGGCTTTGGTGTGTAAGAGTCTTTGGTACCTTTCATATTTTCTTAACTACATGTGCTTTCCCACCTTCTACCGAATAGGACAACAAGCTATAGGAATAGATATGTTCCCCTCCCATCATGATACTTCTATATGTAGTCCCCGGGGAGGCGCCCGAAACAGATCGTCCAACGGGGATACCTAGAGGCTAGAACCCTGACAGGTTTCGCCGAAGATCCGGCAGGTGGGCCGGGACCTGGCGGACAATGCTTGTGACAACACCGTAATGCTTGCTTTATTCATTTTGGTTCAGACTGGTTAAATAGATGTTCATACTTTTCTTTACTCATTATTCAGCCTTGAAAGTATTGTATTAGACGATCAATTAGAACCAAGGCTACAGGGCTGTAGATATAAAGACCAAAGTATGGAACAACATTCCATGGTCTCAACCAGAGGTCTCCCTACGCGTGGGTCTCTTCTCCAACGACACATTATTCTACTTCTAGCGATTTTGTGCAGAGAAGGCCACCGCGAGGAGAAGATTTTCCTATTCGGGTCGTTTTCGTTTTCGCGAGTATCAACTGAACCCTTGATCTCCACTTCCTTCTGCTGGACAATTTTATTATGTGGGGCCGATTTCATCTAAATGATCAGCATCCGAAGCAATAACCGCTTTGGTGCAGATTCTGGAGAGTCTGAAACACCATACAATCAAGGGACCAATGTACAATGTTGTAAGCAATTGAATAGGGGCGCGTAGCTCATACATTGCCTTCTATATAAGATGGGTAGGGAGCTGTCTTATTCTCTGTTTCCAGCAATACCAGCACTCCATCTTCTTCACCCTTCCACTTCTCTTTTTTTGCCATGTTTCCCATCGCCGTTTTAGCACTGGTTGCTACCGCCCAGGCACACACAGTCGCCTGGACCAAAGGCATGTACTGCTCTGGGGGCCCTGATCTTTCTACCGTCAACCTCAATACCAACACAGCAGTGGGGCCCCTTTACAACCTCGCCAAGGAGGACTGGTGGTTCCAACACGAACGTGGATGCGATGCAGCACCGCCGCAGGACGGCGAGGTTCTCGAACTCCCTGCTGGTGGAAGCTTCACCGTCGAGCTCGCCCATAACCGGGCGCAGACTACACTGTCATACGGTGGACAGTACGCCTCTGATTGGCCGGATGGAAAGGATCACCCAGAAGACTGGGCAGGTCCTGGAAGTCCGCCAGACTGCATCCAGGATGACGGTGCAATGCACACCAACAACCAATCCATGGCTGCTGGTACCGCGTTTGCGATCAGCTATCAGTCAGATCTAGCCGATGTCACAATCGACAACTTGGCCGTATTCACGGTCTTGGAGCAGTAAGTATCTTTCAAGAGATGGGTGCGTGAAATGATTGAAGTTCTAACCTACATCTTAAGCACCCCGTGGAAACGTATCGCTACCTATGAAGTTCCAGCGGATCTTCCTGCCTGCCCTGAGGGTGGCTGCACCTGTGCTTGGCTCTGGGTAAGTGGATGGATCAAGTATACCACGATATAAACTAACGCATTTGCAGGTGCCGAACGGCTGCGGACAACCTAACATGCAAGTATCTGTTGTCACAGTGTAGGATTTTGACTGCTAACTCGAAAACTAGGTACATGGCTGGCTACAAGTGCAATGTGACGGGCTCAACATCATCCAAGCAGGTTGCACCTGCTCAAGTCGCGGCTTATTGCGAAGATGACTCGACCAAGTGTGTCAAGGGCGCCAAGCAGATGATTGCTTTCAACCGTAAGATATTTGAATCTTTAGTCGCACTTTTTTATACAGTTGACTGACTCGAGCAGAACAAACCGGAAACAACGTTCAAGTGCCCAATGGCAAGACACCGATGTACAACACGGCCTGGGGTTGGGAATCAGGTATGTGTTCATTCCGGACGACTCTTCAGCAATGATAAACTAATGACAAATTCTTACATCGACAGGTGCCCAAAATGATATTTTCGTGTGATCAGGGCCAGGTAGTCATAGCAAGCAGCTTGTTCATGAGGTGATTGTCACGATCCACATGGATCGCTGGGTCATATGCTTCATGTTTGCTTGCTCGCTCGTTTGCTTGCTTGTTTACTATATAGTCTGCTGGCTTGTATTCCATAGATTGTTTGTTAGATAGCCAAGCGAGAAGGTTGGTTGTTGGCAACGTTTGCAAAGGGACAGCTATATTAACTGGCTGCTTCCTACTTTGCAACTTGCTTCTTCTTTCTCTCTATCTTAGTTATTTTGAATAGAATGCACTCTGCTTCCTTTGCAAGATCTGGCACGTCACAGTGGCGAGGAAATACAGGACGGAAGATAGAAGGGAAATGAGGAATATTTTATAAGGATGGTTGAATGATGGACAGGCAATTAAATATAGTGTTTACCTAGTCGAATGCAGTACTTGATCTTGTTCTTCCTATAGTTCCTCGGTAATCTCTATGGGAGTCGGGATACACCAGCTCTATTTAAGCTTAATGAACTAAAATATGTCGTATGTCTTATTCAGTACGCCACAAGACTGTATGTACAGTGTTTACCTATTATATACTAAATTCCATCAACGGCTTGAATTATTTCCAAACGTCCGGATATATTGGGATTCTCCCGAGCCCAAAGCAGGGCCATGAGGCTCGGAACCTCACATTAGGTAAATGAAAGGCAGAGAAGAGTACGCTGAGCCCACACCAATGCACCCGCTTTCCTCGTAATCTAGAGGATGGTCACTCTTGACTACAATTACCCGGGAGAAGATGAATTTGAAGGAGATTCTGGTGGGATTGGATCCCTATCTGACTACGCCATGCTGAAGAACCTACTTGATAGGTGTTACAGACGATGATTTACCTACCCAAAGTCCCGTTCGTATTGTTGCTTCTAGCCTCTTTGGAGCGACTATATATAGCGGGGGTGTATGTTTGCCGTGTACATATCCTGATTGAAGTACCAAAAAATCTTGTTTCTGTCTTAATAAATCGCTTCCCTCAACTGAAAATGATTGGAATCGAAGGAGACTGGAATACGCCGCCAATGGATAAAGAGATATACGACAGGACTTCAGAAATTAGATGTACCGTTCCATATCCGTCATGTGATATGGAAGACTGGCAACGAGGAAGAGAGGTAGCAGACGAGGACTATTGGGCCAATGAGGACAATCTTAGCAAGGAGCATTCGTCTATGTAGATCGATAGCTGGGTATTGAGGCTCTAAGTAGCATTGTTGCCGAGGTAAGGAGGAACTGTCACGTCACGCCACGAACGTGGTGTCTTTCGATTTTTACCCGAATAGTCCACAGGAACTCATCGCGCCACGATGTAGCCACGAGACAGACACACCTTCATATTACCTATTGTACACTAGTCAACATACCTACCACTGAAGTTCACAGGACGACCTTGCAAGTCCCACAGAGGACCTTGAGGACTTCTAAGGAAGCTATCTCGTCGCACTCCCCCCCTTCTCCTCTTCACTCTTACGACTTACACGCACGACTACCAACATATCTCATACCAAACAAACCATCCAAAGGATGAGCAAATAAATGCATTGGAACGAAAACATACAATGTCTATTCAAGGGTCATCATCGAGGCTAACAAAAAAAAGCACGAATCCATCATGGTCACGGCGCCCCTCCTAGAACTTCGTCCTAGAACGAAGCTAGCATGGGCAACATGAACCTGTTAGATCCGTTCGCAAGAGCCAGGCCCGCGATCGTGGTCTCATCTCATCCATCTTCGATTCATGACTCTTTCCCATTGTCAGCGCAACTCCCCACACAAACCCCGGTGCCCATGGAAAAATAAAATGGGCGACAGACGTGAAAAAGCAATGGAAAAGCAAGGATCAAGGACCCGAAACGTGTATGCAAGAGGGAAAAAAAAAAGTTGGACAAGGCGCGGAGGGATTGGAAACAGGATTACAGGAGAAATTGGGAAATGGAATCCGAGAAGACAAAGAGAAAGAAAAAAAAGAGAAATTGATATCTTCCAGGTTTTCGGAGGAAACGCCATTGCAAAGCATAAAGAAAACAAACAGGTTCCCCGCGTTAAATCGGGGTTAAGGAGAGGGGCCCCTTCACATGGTATCATAAGCGAAGTCTTCATCAATGGCCTAGCATCAACCCCCATTTACGGCATGGAAATTATCTCCGAAACCCTTTTACTGCGAAGCGCACTGCACCCGCTCGGCACCGCCGGGCACATCATCTTCATCCTCGTCCATGCCGGTCGCGGCCGCGCCGTGGGCGCGGGCCTGGTCGTGCTCGTTCGCGGGGTCCTCAAGCTCGAAATCCTCGACCATAGCGTCGGTTGGGGGCACGATCTTCTCAGAGCGAGGAGGAAGGACCTTCTCCAAGAGGTCTAGGTTCTGGAGCTCTTCCTTCTTCGGGAACTTGACATCGAACTTGATGTATAGGTTGCCGTGGTCGTGGTGGCGGAACGAGGGCATACCCTGGCCGTGAATAACCTTGATGGCATCTGAGAGGAATTGTTAGTAACAAGTTTCACAATATCTGTGGGGAAAAGCAAGGCAAGTCACATACCAGGAACGATAACCTCGCCAGGGACAATGTTCACGGTCAACCACCGCTCATCAAGGTGTTCAATGTGGATGGCACCGCCGGCAAGGGCGGTAAGCAAGTCGATCTCAGCCTGGTAGAACAGGTCGTCGCCCTTGCGCTGGAAGCGGGGGTGGGGCTTCTGCTCAATCTCGAAAACGACATCACCGGGCATGACACCAGGCATCTGGTCACCCTCGCCGCGGAATTCAATCTTGTGGCCGTCCCGCACACCTTTGTCGACGTGAACGTGAAGCACCTTGCGCTCAACGACGGTTTTCTTGCCGTTACACTTCTTGCAGCGATCCTTATCACGGACGATCTCGCCCTCGCCGTTGCAGTCGGGGCAGACGGTCTGGAAGCGCTGGATCATGGGACCCATCTGGCGCATCATCGTCTTCATACCGCTACCGTTGCAGCCCGCGCACTCCTTGACAGCACCTTCCTTTCCGCCGCGGCCATCACAGCCACTGCAGATGACGGACTTCTGGAGCGCCAACTTGGATACCTTGCCCTTGTAGATGTCCTCGAGGTTCACCTTGTGCACGTGGTGGATTGTACGGGCCTTCTTAGGGCCTTGATCACGCATGCCGCCGCCGAACATTCCACCGAAGGGGCCGCCGCCGCCGCCGCCGAAGAATTGAGAGAACAAATCCTCGGCGTTCATGCCACCGCCACCGCCTCCGTGCTCCAGGCCTTCCTCGCCGAGCTGATCATAGATTTGACGCTTCTCCGGGTCGCAAAGAGTCTCGTAGGCGTGCGACAGTTCCTTGAACTTCTCTGCGGCATCGGGATTGTTGGTGTTCTTGTCTTCATGTGACGAAGGGGTGTCAGCTGAATGTTTCCTAAATTTGCTATTGGAGTCTCCCGGGTTGTTACATACCAGGATGGTACTTGAGAGCACCCTTCTTATAGGCAGTCTTGAGCTGAGCCTCAGTAGCGGTGGGAGCGACCTAAATGAAAGAAACACCGAGTCAGATTTCAAGCACGAATCACACCGGTTTCGAGAACCAGCCAAGTGTAGCTTTGCATGGGTTAACATACCCCGAGGGTGTCGTAGAACTTTGTTTCCTTGACCATTGTGAAATATGCGGGGGATCAGAGGCGTAAGAAAGAGAATCGATATTAGGTATTCCCGTTGGAATCCAGAAGTGAAGCGGGAGAATAGAGGGGAACAAAGGCGAAAATTTCAGAGTGCTTTTATATGAGAAATGCCAAACAGACAACAATTGCGGTTATTTGAAGTCCTGGCTGGGGGGAGATGAAAAAGTGGAGGGAAGAGAAAGGGCGAGATGGTTTATCTGAACAATAGTCGAAGCCAAAAAAAGGCTGAGTAACTTTTTTTACCTAGGCGTATGAGACTCGTAAGATTACCCACTCAATTACCAGGGCAACTAAGGATTGACGGTTTTCCACTGCGTTTTCTTTGTCTCGCTTTGAGGCCGATTTTACAGTTTTTCAGTCCAGAATCGACAATTTGCTCTACAATATGGGCTATTCTTCGTCTCCAGCTCTTCTGGTGGCTTCTATGTACATCCTGAATTGGCCCGAGCGCTGATTCTACGGGATTCCGCGGTCTTCGATGGAATTCGCAAGTCTTCTCCGCGCTTCCATGTTTTGTTTTATTACGCTGACTAACGGAGTATATTTCACGCATCAGAGGAATGATCGCACTCTCTACCAAATGGCTGTTAAATTTGGCGATTTATTGGCCTCATGGCATACACATTACATGGTTTTGCATATTGTTTCCTGCGTGCAATCCCTGTGTACCAGAAACTCAACACTGCAGAAATCTCGAACCCCTCGCCACTATCGAGCTAAAAGCCACCCTTCAGCCACATATATCTTATCGATAAGCCAAGAGGCGAGGGGGAAATAAAAGCTCTTCAAGGTCCACTCGGTTCCCTCGTCATAGAGGGGTTCGGAACTCTCCGACCATGCCGATTATGCCTTGGAGTAGATTTCCGTATCTCGTAGTCTTCTTATCTTGCCCCTCTACTTCGTAGCTCACAATCAGCTCACCTACTACACACTCCGAAATGGAACAAGATCTTGGATTCATTGCTGCCGTCGAAGAGGCGAAGCAGGGCCTCTCTGAGGGAGGTGTGCCAATCGGTGCTGCCCTAGTCTCGAAGGATGGAAAGATCCTCGGCCGTGGTCACAATATGCGCGTCCAAAAGGGAAGCGCTGTCTTGCATGTCAGTATAGCATGATATACTGCATTGATATCAATTGTCGATCTATATCTATACCCAATATTACAGCGTTCATAGACTACCGCTAACACACACAAGGCCGAGATGTCTGCCCTCGAAAACTCGGGCCGTCTTCCTGCCTCTGCTTACGAGGGTGCTACTATGTACACCACCCTCTCGCCCTGTGATATGTGTACCGGTGCTTGTATCCTCTACAAGGTGAAGCGCGTCGTCATTGGTGAGAACAAGAGCTTCATGGGTGGTGAGGAGCTTCTTCTCAACAAGGGCAAGGAGGTTGTTGTCTTGGATAATGCCGAGTGCAAGGAATTGATGACCAGCTTCATGAAGGAGAAGCCTGAGCTATGGTATGTTGTGTTTGGTGCTCGATCTATCGCAATGCGTAAAGCGGCTGTCGGTCTGCTGGCAGTTGTGTCGAGGAGTTTCGGTTGTTTCATGATCGTCAATACTAACTGTAGTGTCTGCTATACAGGAACGAGGATATCGCTGTCTAATTTCATAAGGCCTGCATATATCATAGCCCTAAATACCCGAGAATTGAAAATATCCACGCCCAAAATATGTGTTTTTAGATCCAATGTAGACTTTTTATCTGAGTCGGGGAAGAAGCCGACCGCTTTTAAGATTCAAGAAAGGCACAATTATACGGTCAAACGGTGGATTTCCTCAAAGAAGAACTTGAGGTTCTCGGGGTCGACGAATGGAGTGACACCTGCGTTGAGAGACAATTAGTTAGATGGCATACAGCGCCAAATCATAAGGTTCGACTTACCGTGGCCTAAGTTGCAGATCCATCCCTGCTTGCCCTTCTTGAAACCCTCGACCATGGGCTCAACAGTGGCAGTAATAGCAGGAGGCCCACCGTAAAGCATGCCAGGATCCGCATTGCCTTGGATAGTCACACGACCGTTGGCAATACGCATGGCATCGCCGGCATCGTGCAGCCAGTCCAAGCCGACAACATTATAGCCCGAATCGCAAAGGTCATCCAGAGCGTACCAGGCGCCCTTAGCAAAAACGGTCATAGGCACAGGCTCCAAGCCCATCTCCTGCAGCCGCTTGGGGAGGTTGGCGGAAATGTGGCGCAGGTAAGGAAGCGAGAAGGACTTGAACGAGACGGGAGACAGCTCCCCGGCCCACGAGTCAAAGACCTGCACCAGCTGCGCTCCGGCAGCGACCTGAAGTGCGAGATATTCCACACATATCTCGGCAATCTTCTGCAGAAGAGCCTGCGCCTCGGCAGGGTACTTGTAGACCCATTTCTTGGACTGCACGAAGAGCTTGCTGCCACCGCCTTCGACCATGTAACACAGCAGGGTCCATGGTGCACCACAGAAGCCGATCAGGGGCACCCGGCCCTTCAGCTTGTGTCGTGTAAGGGTAATTGCCTTATAGACGTAGTCCAGCTCTGCTTTAACATCCACATTCTTCGCCATCACAATTTCGTACTGCCCGTCCGTCGGAGAGTCGAGTGGCGCGGGGAAATGAGGTCCCTTCTTGTCCAGCATCTCCACGACCATGCCCATGGCCTGAGGAATGACTAGAATATCGGAGAAGATAATTGCGGCATCGATGAGGCCTTCATAACGCTCAACGGGCTGGAGGGTCAAGGTTGATGCGATTTCGGGTGTGCGGCAGCATTCGAAGAAGTCACGGCCGCCCTTGGCCTCATGGTATTCGGGGAGGTATCGGCCAGCTGTTCAATAGAAAAAGAAATCTCAATCAAGTGTCCTTGGGAACGTAGTGCACGAATAAGTCTAACTCACCCTGTCGCATAACCCATATCGGAGGACGCTCCACCTTCTCACCTACGATTTGTCAGCTCCGGCCAAAACTAAGATACAGAGTAAACATACCCCGTGCAGCCCTCAGCAGCAGGTCGTTTTTCAAAGGCTCAAATTGTTCCTGCATTGTGTTGGTGGGATATGCAAGTGCGATGGAGGGGGGAAGTGGGATTATAAGAAGGTTCTCCGGGTACCGCGGCCCGTGATCATCGGAAAACATAGTGACAACGCTTTATACCCGTAGCATCATAAGTTCGTTTTCTTCCCGAGGTCTGTTTTTGCCAAAAAAAAAAAAAAAGAGAGAGAAATGGGCTATACATGGGTATTTTCATGTTTATTCGAATATAACTGGAATCCGAGTTATCACATCCATGAACATATTTGTGTGTTTCGCCATTGGTCATCACCGGTACAACTTGTTTCAGAGGTTGATCTATCCACCCTTCTATATCAATATATCAATTAGGACGTTACCCCAAGATACCCTGTTGCCGGTCACTACGATCATAGTATGACAGCCCTATGGTTACTCCGTAGCTCACAGGTCAGGCCACTGGAGCTCTCGGGAGCTTGAAGACGCTCTAGCCTGTTTCTAACCACCATAAGTATTGCTGAGAACCATGACTGGAGTTCGATTAGACAGGACCTTTTGTGGGATATCTTCGGCAGATCTAGGCTATTACGATAAATTATTGATGTCGCAGCCCTCGGGCCATCCTCTCAGGGTGTACTCTGACTTACTACCTACCTTGATGTGGGAATGGTAGATATAAAAGCAATCATATCTCCCCTTGCTGACCGAATAGCCTTCCTAAGAGAAGATTAGATCTCTCGCATCTTAGGACTTCTTTTGACCACACAGTCGAGGCACCACTCATTCGTAATGGCTATTCTTTGTTGCATACCCTAATCAATCTAATCAAGATATAAACCCAAAGACCAGGGTCAATCTCAGCAATATCCTATATGACACCCTCTCATGCGGACTTGTCAACCTATGTCTTGCTAAAGACAGTCAAAACGAAGATGGTATGTGTGAAAAGATACTAGAAATATATATTTTGATCTAGGTGAAGTGAATTTTGCGGCCATGCTCCCCCTCCCCTCCTTTGGACATAATGGAGATTGCTTGCTGCATTACATATGTATTTGGAAATCTAACTGATCATTTGCTGTACATTCATAAAAAGCATGCTTTCATTCGTCGTAATCACCTCTCTTCCGCAGGTTGCCCAAGTTGTACATTGAATCATTGAGCTCTTTCTGCTCTTTCTGCTCTATTATCGTAGGCAGACTTGAGGTGCCTTCGGAGTTGATTTTGATAACCATCGAGTCCTCTACAGGAATCCACTTTCCAGAATCAAGCCGGAATGTTTCGAGAAGAGGCTGGGAAGACGACTTCCAAGCACATGTCGAATCGGATTGGCGCAAAGTATCCACGGCAACAATAATAGAGCCTCTTGAATCAATACCGACCAGTTCAAGAACGTTTCCTGACAGCTGAAGTGTATCTTGGTGAGTTATCGTGTTGTCACTTTCGAGAGTGTAGCAAAGAAGTTTTGAAGACCTGCTCTCGACGTTAGGACAAATATAGATATCATCAATGGTTGTTAGAACGTACCCATCAAGTGCAACAAAGATAGCCTTCACAGAATCGGAATTGCCTGCCGTAGGCGCAAGGGAAACATCCCAAATGCCGCGCACCGTAGTCTCTCCCTCCGACCCGGGAAGCTGAATTTTTTGTAAAATCTGGTTTTCGAGCCAGTCCCACACAAGCAGATAGTTGTCGCCACCACCCGAGATGAGAACTTTAAGTTCGAAGGAAGGGACGCAAAGACTGCTGACAAATGAAGTGTGGCCAAAGCAGAATTGCTCAATTACATGCGCTTGGGGAACACCACGAGAGACACGGATGTGCTCATCGCGATCTCCAGTCAGGATGTAACTCCGCTTGCCAACGGCCGAGTCTGCAGGCCGGGTCACAGAGATTAATTCCGTCAACAACGAAACGTGACCAATGATGACTTGATGCTCGAAGTTCAGCACAGCCCGTTCTGCTTGGTTGGTCTTCGACAGAGCAGCCTGTCGCATTTGTTGCTCCAATGATTCAAGGTTGCGTTTTGTGTGCACCGTGAGGTTTGTGGCAGCTGGCTCATACGGCTTCGCTGGAGCCTGGACCTTCACGTACTCTCCGCTCGGAATGAGTGGGAAAGTGTACACATCTCCGAATTTGTCACCCGTCAAGATGTTGTTCTCATCGGGAGTCAGGGTAAGTGCAGAAAGCTTCTTGGGCATTGTACTATATATGATGAGTTTGGCGAACCTGCAGATAGAAAAACAGCCACTCACCGAGCACTCAATTGTTGGAGTTTGCCTTCGTTATCCAAACTCAGGACTCGGACACATTTGTCCTCAGAGGTCATGATCACTACATATTTGCCGTGGGCAACAGTCAAGAGAGGAATATTGGTCCAGGAGTTGGAAGCGTCCTTGTCCGAATTCTTAGGATTTGACTCCAATTTGGCATCCTTCTGTTCCTCGGAGGGTGAAGACAGCTTCCTTCGCTTTTCTCGGGGACCTTGGCTTTCAGATGCGGGAGCCGCGTCAGAGCTTTTATCATCCGCATTCGCATCTACGGATTGAGGCCACACATCCAGGCGCTGACCACTAGTTGCATCGTAAGAGTAGAGATTGCGTCCAGCGGTGGCAATAAGAATATCCGATTGGCCTGCTGACTGCCTGTTGACATATCGCAGACACTGGAATGGGTGTTGGAGACCGGCCATGATGAAGTCTTTGATTCACAGAGTGAAAATGATCAACGATCTCACAAATAAACCAATTGCGTACTACTAATTGTAGTCAAGAAGACAACAAATAACAGTAATCGCTCCCGAGATTCCTCTGATCGAATTCCGGCCATGTCTGTCCATCATGGGCGGGTCTACTTTCGGAACCACGTGACCCACTAGCGAGCGCACCACCAAAATTGATTCCCCCGAACCGCACACCTCTTCTTTTTTTCTCTTCCATTAACCACCACAACAATAGACTTTCCCTTAAACAACCTATCTTCACTGAAATCAAGAAGAAATGGGGGGCAAGTCCGCAACCAAGTCCGCTTACTTTGAGAAGCTGCGTGCTCTGTTAGTTTCTCAATGGCGCCTAGCAATTGACTCCATTCAAAAATTCTAACAATCTTCTGTTATAGTCTCAATGAGTACAGCACCATCTTCATCGTGGGAGTTGACAATGTCAGCTCTCAGCAGATGCACGAGATCCGTATCGCTCTCCGTGGAGAGGCCGTCGTCCTGATGGGTAAGAACACCATGGTTCGTCGTGCCCTCAAGGGTTTCGTCACTGAGAACCCCGAGTGGGAGCGTCTGCTTCCCCACGTCCGTGGCAACGTTGGTTTCATCTTCACCAACGGTGACCTCAAGTCTATCAAGACTAAGATTCTTGCCAACCGTGTCGCTGCTCCCGCTCGTGCTGGTGCCGTCGCCCCCGATGATGTGTGGATCCCCGCTGGTAACACTGGTATGGAGCCCGGTAAGACCGCCTTCTTCCAGGCTCTCGGTGTCCCCACCAAGATTGCCCGTGGTACCATTGAGATTGTTTCCGACCTCAAGCTCGTTGAGGCTGGCAACAAGGTCGGTGCCTCCGAGGCTACCCTCCTTAACCTGTTGAACATCTCTCCGTTCACCTACGGTATGACCATCGCCCAGGTCTACGAGAACGGTCAGTGCTTCGGCGCTGAGGTTCTTGACATCACCGATGAGCAGCTCTTGGCCGCCTTCTCCCAGGCTATCGCTACCATCACCGCTGTCTCCCTGGCTGCCAACTACCCCACCCTGCCTTCCGTTATCCACTCTCTCATCAACGGATACAAGAAGGTCCTCGCTGTCGCCGTCAGCACCGATTACAGCTGGCCCGAGATTGATGATCTCAAGGACCGCATCGCCAACCCCGATGCGTACGCCTCTGCTGCGCCTGTCGCCGCTGCCGCCGCCACCTCCGGCGGTGACGCCCCTGCCGCCGCAGCTCCTGCTGAGGATGAAGAGGAGTCCGATGAGGACATGGGCTTCGGTCTCTTCGACTAAGCGCCCTCTCGACGGGATGCGGATGCCATGTATTAGATTTACTTGAACTGGCGCTTGAAATAGCGACCAGGAATGAAAAAACATGTCTTGGCAATGGATTTCCCTCGGAAACCTAGGACTCGTATGATGGACGTAGCTACGCCCATTGTTCGTTTCCACGGAATTGGTGAGTTTTCAATCCCCCACCCCCTTTTTGCTCCTACCCCTTGCACACCCACCACCTCATATCACCCTGGCGGATGATTATAAATTTTTAACCCCGAGCATTTACGCCCCCCTCCGGGGCGCTCTGAAGATTAAATTAATGCAACAACAACACTCTAATTTTTTGATGACGCCATGCCTTTACCCTCACACATGCTTTTGACTTTTGACACATTTCACTGAATTTGCAAACAATTGCTAACTTGTGACAAGATTACAGACGCTCTCCATACGACCTGCGATAGTAGTACCGATATGTTGTCGCCGTAGACAATTGTGTAGTTGGGTGGCTGTCGGAAATCCTGTTCGCTATCTCTATTTGTGCAGCTGCCGTAATAGATGGTTGCTCAATGAAAAATCGTTCTCTCTTCGAACTTATTGTTCCTGTTCGTAATGGTACCCACCAGCGTGTAACTGGTTAACAGTACAACATAGGATTACGCATGTTTTGTCTAGCAACTCCATATGAAAGGTACATAAATCCAACATGCATAACGTCGATATTTCACTCTCCAACTAGACACTCCGTACTCCGTGGTGGATGGGAAATGTGATCGATCCACTTGATTATGAGACACTCTAATAGCGCAACTTACCCTCGATCGATCAAACGGCATTCCGATCGCTGCTGCCTCGGATCGGTCGATTCCCGCGGTGGATGCGGATAATGTATTAAAATGACCTTGTAGGAAAGGGAAATCCCATCACGGTCTCTATTTCTCAGAGACTAGATCCAATGACTGGAATGAGAGGTCATGGCGAGGTCTCAGTAAGGCATACGGCTCGTAAACTACATGCGGTCTTTCGCTTGCTTTGAGAACTATGCCCCTTATTCCTCGCCCCGCTGAGTGAAGCCGTCCGCTGAAAAACAGATCCTTTCAATGCAAGTTTTAGCGTGGCTGTACTAGAGGACTCCTGGGACATGGCAGAAAAGCGGATAGAGCACGGGCTCGTTCTCAACGGCTTGCCATTGGGAGTTGCTGGGAATTACGGTGTAAAGGCGGCCGTTTCTAGCGCCAGAAGCTGTTCTTTTCGGTGTCATTTTCGACAGGTCTTAAGTTTTATATTAGTGAATTTCCTTTTCGCGTTAGCTTTGCCTTTTGGGGCTTAGCGTCCTCGTAACCTCCCGACCTCGGGAGGTCCCCGCTGATATAACCCGCTCGTTGTTGCCCAGGTGCCTAATATCGGCTTTGTTAGAATCTGCAGGAAGTGAGACAACCTTGAACAAAGAACAGGAGCCACCTCATACTGCTAACTCCAAGAGGAAATGACAGGAGAAGAGTTCCCCAGGCAACCTGCGACAGCCTGAGCAATTACGCGCCCAATCTGACCTAGATAGCCTGGAGCGAAGGGCTGAAGAAAGAGACGCCTGTAATACAAGAGCACTTCAAAATCTTTTAATATTATATGGAGGCACAAGCTATTTATTCGAACTCTGAGCATGTCCCAAAATAACCTCGTGCTTTGACAGACGAGATATCTTAACAGACCAGGTAGTGTAGCAAAAAAAAAAAAACAATTTTCGCATCCACAAGTTACGTCCGCTCCATCCACTGCTGCAGAACATCAGCAACTTGCAAACTATTTTTCTCCATGAACACCAAATGTCCATTTCCATGGATGCCGATATCCGCCAGCTGGAGATGTTGCGCCGGGACACCTGCCTGTTGCAGAAACCGGACTGTGCACCAGTCATACGGCGCGTGGTAAGACGATTCGGTCGTCAGGACCAGGACGGGCACATGGGCAAGATTGACGAGCTGTCTCGGTGCGGGGGAATCGGCCTGGATTACGCAGTCGGAATACAGCGACGAGTTGGAAGGGATAACATGCTTCACGAGGTCGACCGGATCGGCCACGGCGGGCGAATAGGTTAGGGGGATGTCAGTAAGCCCGTAGGCGCGCGTGGAGGAGTTGCTGAAGATTGCGTCCTGGAACGGAGGGCCGGTGGGTTCGATCGAGACGATGGAGTGAACGAGATCCGGGCGCACATCCGCAATGAGCCAGGGCATACATCCGCCCTGGGAATGGGAGAGGAGGATGACTGGGGATCCGATGGTGTCAAGCAGGGCGGCGCCGGCGGCCTGGACGGTCGACTGCTGGTAGGTTGCTGAATTGAGGAATTCGACTGTCGAGGAATAGTAAGTGTCGAAATTCCGGTCGCCCATGACGCCCGTCCCGTTCCATTGGGTGTGCAGGGACGCTTGCCGCCAGAGGTTGTATAGCTTCGGTGCGGTAAAGCGCTGCTGCAACACCTCGGCACTGTAGGTGCTCAGCGTTCCATTGCCAGGGAACCAGGCACTGCGGCCGCGGAAGGTTTGATCGATGATATAGCATGCATATCCCTGAGAGAGAAAGTAAGACGCCCAGCCTTCCCCTCCATCTGGCTTGTTGAGCCAATTCTGCCAACATCACGGTTAACCTCTAGGAAGGGAGAGAATGGTTCAATGATACGTACGGTGCCTGTTTGAGCTTGTCCATGGATGAAGACAATTGGATACGGCTTGGTAACACCCGCGGCCGGTGTCAGTTTTTCCACGTACATCTGATCCGCAAAGATATGTTGGCCAGCATCATTCAGAATATATTGTCCTCCAACATACATGTACGATCGCTGGGCTGGCACCTCACCGCACCAGCCTGAAGCCGCGACAATTGCCCAGATCAATAATAATCCTGTCTTGATATGCATTTTAAGGGGATGGCCAGGGGTCAACGAAACGACAAGGATCATCAGTCAATTTATTTACCGGATTTCCTCCGCGGTCGGCCTTCTTGTTGGCCCCCACACGGGAACTACATACTAACGGAGAGATGGGGAGTTCACTAGTTAGAAGCTAGGAAATATCTCCGTAAATGGATCCTGAATCCTTCGATCTTGGAATTTCTTTTATGAGTAATGCTTGGAAAATGGTTGGGAAGTGCTCCCTTATGAGGAAGTTTCTGTCTCTTCTTTCCCTCTTGCTTACTTCGGACTTCCAGAGGCTTCAAAGGCCATGGATTCTACCCTCATCATTCTTTGGGTATTTACCTGGGTGGCAATTGGCTTAATTGTCCTTCGGCTGTTAGCGCGGAAGTTGAGAGGATACCAGTTCGTCCTAGGCGATTATTTCGCAATGGGAGCGATTCTCTGTGCTGTCATACGCCTCGCCTTGGTTCATGTTATTCTCATCTGGGGAACCAACAATATGTCTGGCACATTCAGACGCACGCACGTTTTTACCCCCGAGGACATTCGTCGTAGAGAGATCGCGAGCAAATTCGTGCTCACCAATCGAGTGTTCTATAATTCATAGTACGTGAGTTAAACGGAATTCAAGGTCGGCTATTTCTCTTTCTCATATTTCTTTTAGTCTCTGGTTGCAAAAGTTGGTTCTGCTTGATACCTATCGCAGACTGCTCAGGCAACTTCGCTGGGAGAAGGTCACGATGATCTCCTATATTGGTATATTCGCAGCGACGTATGTAACCGTACAGACTGTGACTTTCACGGAGTGTGATCCAATCAGTCATTACTGGATCGTATTACCGGATCCTGGTATTTCTTTCCCTCTTCTAATTTCTCTCTTATTTTCGTGTTTCCTTGAACCTTCTAACCAATACAGGCAAATGCTGCCAGGCACAGCTCCAATTGATCGTCCTCGGTATGCTTCCAGTCGGAAAGATCGGTTCAATGTAATACCTCTAACATTCTAGTTTCCTCAGGTGTATTGAATGTCATCACCGATATTATGCTTATCGCCTTGCCGATTCCAATCCTGGTTCTGGTTAAACGATCCGCTGTTGAGTAAGTCTACCCATATCACCATATGAATTTCGTTGACGAGCTCTCTCCGTTAGAAAAATCCAGCTAGCGGTCCTCTTCGCCGTCGGTCTCTTCATCGTCGCAATCACCATCGTTAGACTACCTCAAAACGTCAAAAATCCCACTGTACAAGTGAACAGAACGACTTGGGCATCCGTCGAGTTGCTCGCTGCCGCTATCGTAGCCAACGCTCCGGTTCTGTACGGACTTCTGAAGGGACGGAGCCAAAGGTCCAAGTACGCCGCATCAGGAGCCGGATCAACTGGGCCGTCGTGGCAGGGACTTCAAAAGAGGTCGGCAAACGAGCTCGAATTAGAACTGCAACGAATCAGTCACAGTGTGGGAGGGCCTGTTCTCGGTTCAAAGATATCATCCAGCCATTATTTGGAGATCGATGGCGGGAGTAGTCAGTCGTTGACTCGAAGCCTAGATAAGTAGGGAAAAACTCGTACGGAGTATAACAGAAAGGGCTTCAAGCCGAGCTAAACGTGGACTTTATAGTCATTCGGTTTATTCGGAATTGTCCAGTGTAGCACTAGGTGCCCAATATTATTGCTGATCCCCTTTTGGCCCTACCCAAAGGTAAGATTCGGTGGTCTCCTAGGTACGGAGTGCGCTGTGTCAGCGACTTTCAATACAAGCTTGTAGACATGTTGCGTATCGAATTATCTGTCAATTCCCCCTATTAGGGAATATCAAAAGCGTAAATTTTACTTCTAGACAATTTGCCTTTTGCAACATCCTTTTAACGGGTGGTCGCCTGTATCAATCATGCTAAGATCCGCTAAGCTAGGAAAGCTTTCCCCTCTGCTCTCTGCGTTCCCTTCTCTCTAAGCCTCGCACCGTAGGTCCATATGAGAAAAGGCGCTAGCAAACCGAAGCCAATCATGATGAACGCCAATGTGCTATTTCCCCATCCGTATTCAAGACGATCATATAGAGCCGGCGCGAATATAGGGAAGCAAAAACCCAAGATACTTCGCAAGAATTGACTAGAGACATTCGCTGACGCCACGTATTCCCTGTAGGACTCTATAACATACTGCTGTATGGCTTGATTACTGAGAATCACTCCACAACCAAACACCGATGCTCCAATGCCGACGACGATTCACGGAGCCATTGCTTCCGCTGTCCAGCCATACCATGATAGACCAGCTACTAGGAAAACAATCCCTGGGAAAATCAAGGGAATTCGATATTCAGGTGCCGTCTGTCCTCGCTTGTGTGTCAGATACTTCCAGAGCCAGTCGGTGACTCGAGCGCCACCAGGAGAGCCGACAGTATAGCCGAGAACAATAGCGACATAATGAACGCCACTGATCAACACCGATTGATGATATCTCTTTGTCCAGAGGGAGGCAAAGCTGGTGAGGACAAAGAAGAGAACGCCATCGTTGTAGGCGAGGAAGATAGCCATGATTTGAATAGTTGACTGAGTCGCCATCATCTAATACGGGCGCGCGAGACTATAGCAGAGCTTCCTTGCCAGTGGTTGATTGTGAACATCGGTCTTGATATGAAAAAGGCCTGCTTGTCTCCTTTTGTAATTTGATGGCCTTTCGATGAAGCAACAAACGATGATAAGTTTCCGGAAAGAAAAAAATCGCATAGATAACCAAAGCAGCATCGAAGATGGAAACAACCCAGAAAAGCCACCTCCATCCGATTTTTGTCGTGATGATACCGCCGAGGATAGGGCCAATAGCCGGACCCAACAAGGCACGAAAGTTGCGATCGCATAAGAATGACCGCGCTGCTCCGGACGCCAACAGTCTGCCAGCACCAGCGCTGTGGTTGCAAACTCTGTACCGGCTCCCAGGCCACTCAGAATCCGCCCAGCCAGTAAAAGGCCCCTGGTGTGAGCAAAGGCGCAAATATGTTCCACAGTATATACCAGGTCGAAGACAAGATCCATACCCATCGATGACCGAACACTTCGGCCAAGAGAGCGAGAACCATCGGTCCAAAGGCAAAAACAAGCACGAAAATCGAGACCACCATGTTGGCTTCGCTCTCACTGATGCCGAGGCCGTCACCAATATTGTTCAAGGCGGGTGCCAGCATGGATGCACTGATAAGGATCACCATGCCCCCCATGGAGCACAGCAAAGTGATGGCCCATCGCTTGGACAGGGACCAATTGAATTGACATGCAGGATCGCCTGGACCCTTCCATTCTACCAGTAATTCGTCGCTTGCAGGATCGGGATCGATATGTATCCGTACTTCGCTCAGCTCGGATGTACTTGGTTTTTCCATTTCATTTATATGATCAATATGATAATAGATGCAATGAAAAGCAAATCGTTACTATCTACGAAAATACAGAAGACGGGGAAAGCAACAGTTGATACTGATTTACACTACGGAGTACCTGGCCAGGCTTGGTTACAACGAACAAAGAATAGTCTTCCAAAAGTGCAGGGGTTAGCAGTCATTCACGTTGCTTCCGGATCATCTATTGTCCAAATGAAAGAGACACCTGATCTAACTTATCTAATCTGATCTAGAAATTGGGCCTCGAAACTAACTGTTGAGGTGCAATAGCTGCCTGATGCATCCCTGCTAGGTCCCTGTCGTCAATCGAATATGATTCGCCCAAGTATCTTTGCCATTACTAGCAAAACATCGAAGCTTACTGAACACACCGTAAAAGATTCTTATTTTGATTGTTTCCTTACAGTTGGATGTGTGAGTAAAGACCCGCGAAGAGATACTATTGTTGCTACTTTTCGAAGGACGGTTCAGGAGGTTTAAGATACGGCCGGAATCATGTCGGCCCTCCTCTCGAACATGATGGTTTGCTGGGCCTTCGGGATTTCAAATACTGGATTTAGACATGATTCTGAACAAACATTTGGACGGATATTGTGTTGGAAGAGAGCTAGGCCGAATGCCTTAATATTTTGGCGCTAGAGCTCTGGCGAAAGGAATCGACTATAGCCTTCTTACTGATTGTTCTCTGGGATTTCAATCAATTTGAAACGGTTAAGCCAACCCAATGATCACTATTTCCTCTAAATCAGTATCTACCGTTTAACTGTTCCATTTGGAGCTCTGACTAGCCATCGAAATTAATTTCGCTCTGTAACATAAATGCAGATAAAGATTCTATACCATGTGCTTTTGCTAGATGAGAAACCTTGCTGCCATTGCACACTCCCTCGCTACGGTGACGGTATGTATGTCCATGGGGCATCCAGTTGATCTTCGATGTCTTCAATGCGCAGTTATTTGGGCCAAATGAGAATCTCACGTAAGTCTTCATTGCATCACGTGCCTTCTGTGTACCCATTAAAAGATCTATCGTTCCCTCTACGCTTTCCGAGTGTTTTCGATAGCCTCTTCAGTTCATAATTATTTAACTAGGCAATAAGTCCTCAGTTATCAAGTCTTCAAAATGGCCCAAAATGAGGATATCAACCCACGCCCATTCAACCCCCGCCCATTCTGTCCCGATCCCCTAGTCATCGAGCCTCAGCAACGTATTAAGCAGCTTAGAGAATACCTGGAAGATCCGGCTCCCAAAATGCAACGCCACAGAACTAACATTCAAGGACTCATCCGAATGTATGAGACTGGGGAACTCGGGCCCCTTGTCTTTCCTGGTCAGGAGACGATCTGGATCTGTGAGGGGAAGATCATGGATCCGCCGCCTCGCCTTGATGACCTTGTGCACATTATTCCACATTCTGCCGTATGGGCCGAGGACAGTCTCTACCTTCTACCTTCGCTACATTTTAATAATTCCTAACCATTCATCTAGGGATTATATCAACAGTTGATGCAGCAGATTCCTCCCCAGATAACTACCTTGAAATAGTGATCGAAATAGTGATGTGGTATAGTGGCCTAGGATTGATCTGAACCAGAGGGATGAGTCTCCGTGGCGCACTGGAACTACTATATCTCGTTGATTATCGTTGTCAGTGCAGTCCTACATAATTAGTCAAAGTTTACGATGGTTGCCTTCGAAGAGAACCTCGCAGTAGGAAGTAACTCATGTAAGACTATCAGGGTGAATATATAATCTGGAAGCAATCCTAACAAACATCGCTTGGCCACATGGAATTAATTGCTTAATCACAACGGTGCTATTAGGTTACTAAGATACCATATTGGAAGCATTCAGTTCGCCTTTACCAACTTGATAATAAAAGAGCCCTACACAAGGTGGAGTCACAGTGCAGACCTACTGGCTGAATTCCATTTTACCAGAAACAGCTCCAGTGCACTGAACATTTCCATTGTAATACAGCAAAGGAACCTTCGAAGTTCAAGTTCCTCTCAGAGCATCGCCACTGTAACAGAGTCTAGGAACAAGAAGGCTCTCTCATGATATGCCTGAGATAGCGTCCGATTGTACCTTCTTGTCTCTTTTCGGCACATTTTCATGTATACCTGTGTAGGTGCAAAACCAACGTCTAGGGCAACGTATACCTTCTGACCTGATAGAAGAAGTGACCGGAAAACTGGAGTTGCAACGTAGCCCACGCGTGGTATGAAGGTGACCGCCGTACTCGTACTTATGTGTTGGTTCCGTCACAACTTCCGTGGATGTATAGAGAACTCGATTGTCGTGTTCGAACGATAATTTGAGCATCTCCCTGGATCTAGAACGGGATGACTAACCTCAATCCTAATTCGTGTGTTAGGGGTAGGGGAAGCGTTAATAACAGCGAGCTTCGCGGATGCTTGCGCGGATGCGTAAAACCGGGGCTCCGAGCCCGTCCGTGATCGTTCTCGGGAGCTTCTAATATTTTCAATCTTGTCATAACTCCGTTCCCTCTTCGTCTTGCGGAAAGTAGAGCTCGACACGTCCAAGAGGAAGGGCCCTAGCTCACGCTTGGGCGCTAAGCGTAACGGAACTGAAATTGTTAGGTTCATGTTCGGTATGATGAGGGTAGGAAACAAAAGGATAATGGAGGGCAGAGCACGGGATCTGAGGATGAGTGACAAGATATTACTTACTCGACCATATGCTGTAGATATTCAAGCTAGGACAAATAAGTGCATGCCTTTGTTGCTTATACTTGGGTACTCAGGCGTATGAATCAACTTCTTCCACTTGTAAGTATAACTCAGAACCGCGTTGCCTTCCCGGAACATAGACCTATAATCTCTCTAACTGTACAGGGGTTGAGAAAAATACGACACAGTCACACAGACAAAAGGGAGATGAGAAAAGACCCTTACTATGGCGTGCTCGGAATAAATCTCCAAAAAAAAGGGGACTCGGGGACCAGGAATACGGAATCCCGAGCGAGAATAAACGAGGCTATGTTGGCAAGGGCGAGAAATAAACGCAACAGGAAATTTGAAGTCCCACAATTTAACCAACCGAATCACTAGTCAATATAGGTATATGACAAAGTTCTCGTATAAAACAAGCCAAACGCCTCCCGTCTAGGCAAGACGAGGCTGAAATCGAAGGGCATCTCCGAGGAGAAGGACAAGAATAATGTACGATGTACTTCGTGTCGCGGAGACCCTTATTCCCATGAGCACGGTTATGCCACCATAACCATGTCTTAGAGTCAGCTGGCTCAGATGAACGGCACAACGCCACATTATTTCCTTTTTGCCTCTTCCTCTCGGCTGTTTCTTCTCTTGTAAGCCTCTATTATATCCACAAGTCTTGGATATGCGCCTATGTAACCCGTAGCGGCAGGAATGTCTTGCGTGATATGGTCGAAAGTGCCAAGGGACGCACTAGGAAGACTTAGCAAGCAACCAAGGTGGAAAAGGTAAACAGAAATAGTTGATACGTCTGCTAGTCTTGTGGCACCATGTTTTAAGTTAAGGGCGCATCTCTAAGAGGTATTACTCCGTACGGAGCACTGCTTTAGTACTTTATTATTTACAATATCCCGCTAGATGCGGGCCGACGAGAAAGCTCGATGACGTGATTTAGATCTTGATTGCGCCTTTACAAAGTGGATGAAAAGTCTGCAGGTGACAGGGGGAAAAGACCTGCATATTCTAGGTAAGCATTGAGCTATGCCCTCAAATCTTGGCCGTTGGAGAGTCGTAGCTATGTTGTATGGCTTCGTGTCGAGGGTTTCTCTACTGGGCTGACAAGGTTCTGGGAAAGCTGGTCGCTTACGGAGTAGAAATTGCGTGACTACCTCCGTATGCAAAGAGGCAATGGCCTACGGAGTACTCCGTAAATTTTGTGTGCATGCTCCCCTACATCCGGAGTATGCACCTAACAGATAGAGTAGCGCCGAGCCCAAACGGGACCCCACGCGACACCTTTGACTCAAATGGATTAAAGATGAATGGACTACTCCGTAACGGGTGGAAGGGACGCGGCAGATGAGCAATATAAATTAGATCCCGAGGTCCGTGTGGAGCTGTAGGCATATTGCTCCCGAGGTCTTGCCATTAGAAAACCACCGTTGAAGCTATACACTTATGTAAACATGATATTCAAGGCGGTGGCCCCGGGCTGGAATAAAGTTAATCAGCTAAGAAGATTCTTGAAACACCAGAAAACCCGCCGGAGAACGTACCACCAAAGCGTGGAACCTCCTTTGTGCCTTTCACCATCTCTTCTCCAGATTGCGTGTTCTAAACGGTGTGTGATTGGTCTTTGGGTCCCACTCGTTGATCTTCTTGGCGCAAACCTCATCAGGACGCGTTGCCATTCGTCACCCAGAACCCCTTGGCACTACCGACAGCTTGTCCGGTTTAGTCCTCGGACGTTTATATTCGTCAAGGTTATGATGACATGGACTCCCAGGCGAGGCGAATATCATGAGAACAATGAATATTCCAAGGGCGATGCGTGATAGTGCTTAAAACAACCAGCACATAAAATTCAAGTATCCCGCCTCATCTCGACCACGGACTGCATGCAAAAAAAACGGATATACTCCACGACCCGTCGTCATTTCTACCAGACCGAGTGGGACCTGCGGATGTGCGAGATCGTCGGTGGACCCGGCTGCCGCGTGAAATTCGTGGTTTTTAACAACGTGGGCTCGCTTTCAGCCAGGTTTTGCTTTTTCTTGTGAATTTTCTACCTCAAACTTGCACTTGATACAAGTCTAGCCCTCGTCTAATCCTTGCATCCCTTGCCGGAAGTCCAACCCAAGCGAGCCAAGCGGAAAATTTCAAATCTTAATTTGAATCTGGGGAGCTCAGATATTGCGCCATTTGGGATCGAATCACGCATCCAACCTTGTTTTTATTTTCTTTATTCTTTATTCTCTATTCCTTATTGTCGTGCCATGGAAAGTGCATGATCGTCTGATTTGACATTTTCTTTTTATACTCTTGATCGTCACCACATCTCTAGGGTTTCCATCTTTTCAAGTCACCGCTGCCAACACACATAGCGGTCCTGGAAGCGTCGTCAAATCCCGGCATTTGATATTGTCAACTCCGGTCTGTACAAGCGTGACCATGTTTGAAAAATGGAGCGAGGCCAATACCAATATTGGCCATTCCCTGGCCAAGGTCCTCGGTATCAAGCTCGCATATAGAGACCCCCTGGGTGCTACCGGTGCCGGTGAGACCGTCACAAGAGGAGAATCGGCATTTTCTATGGGCACCGTCGACACATACTCATACAACGAGCCCGAGCCGACAAGCATCGACTGGGTTCGCGAGGTCACCCCGTCCGGAGCCCAGATAGCCAGATATTTCCTCCATCTGTTCCCTTTCCTCACATGGATTACCAACTACAACCTACAATGGCTGTTCGGTGATCTGGTTGCCGGTATCACCGTTGGAGCGGTCGTGGTGCCACAAGGTATGGCCTATGCTGAACTGGCTGGACTGCCGGTACAATTCGGTCTCTACTCCTCGTTCATGGGAGTTCTGATCTATTGGTTCTTTGCTACGTCAAAGGATATTACTATTGGGGTGGGTGATACTGCGCCCGGTCGAAACCAAAATAAAACATTGCTAACCTCATCTCATAGCCCGTGGCCGTCATGTCAACTCTTACCGGAACGATCGTGGCCAAGGTCCAGGTAGAATACCCAGATTACCCGGCCCATTTGATTGCATCGGCCCTTGCTGTCATTTGCGGTGGTATTGTTCTAGCTTTGGGTCTCCTGCGCATCGGATTCATTGTTGATTTCATTCCTCTCCCCGCTATTTCGGCCTTCATGACCGGCTCGGCTCTGAACATTTGCTCCGGACAGGTTCCGACCATGTTGGGCGAGACGGCCAAATTTAGTACGCGCGGTGCCACCTACATGATCATTATCAACACCCTCAAATACCTCCCCACTTCGACATTGGATGCTGCTATGGGTGTCACTGCCTGTGCAATGCTGTACATCATCCGTTCAGGATGCACTTACGCCGCGAAAAAGCAGCCTGCTAAGGCCAAGATGTGGTTCTTTATCTCGACTCTTCGGACCGTGTTTGTGATCTTGTTCTACACTATGATTAGTGCCGCCACGAACCTGCACCGGAGGGATAAACCAGCGTTCAAGATCCTTGGGACAGTCCCTCGAGGATTCCAACAGGCCGCCGTGCCCACTATGGATCGTAAGATCATTTCAGCCTTCGCTGGCGAACTTCCAGCTGCGGTCATCGTTCTTCTGATTGAGCACATTGCCATTTCCAAGTCCTTCGGCCGAGTTAACAACTACACTATCGATCCTTCTCAAGAGTTTGTGGCCATTGGTGTGAGTAACCTTCTCGGACCTTTCCTCGGCGGTTACCCCGCCACTGGGTCTTTCTCCCGAACAGCTATCAAGTCTAAAGCTGGAGTGCGGACACCCCTTGCTGGTGTCATTACCGCGATCGTGGTGCTCTTGGCTATCTATGCCCTGCCCGCTGTCTTCTTCTACATCCCTAAGGCTTCTCTGGCTGGTGTCATTATCCACGCTGTCGGCGATCTGATCACTCCCCCGAACACCGTTTACCAGTTCTGGCGCGTGTCTCCGCTTGATGCGCTTATTTTCTTCATTGGTGTCTTTGTCACTGTGTTCACTTCCATTGAAAATGGCATCTACTGCACAGTCTGTGTGTCGGTTGCAGTCCTGCTTTTCCGTGTGGCCAAGGCCCGCGGTCAGTTCCTAGGCCGCGTCACTATCCACTCCGTTGTCGGAGATCACCTGTTGGATGGCGATGGAAAGTACGGATCATTCGGAACTAACAAGACTCCCTCCGACGATGAAGACCGCCACCGCCGAACTATCTTCCTTCCCATCAACCACACCGATGGCTCCAATCCGGATATCGAAGTGGAGCAGCCCCTTCCGGGTATCTTCATCTACCGCTTTGCCGAAGGCTTCAATTATCCTAACGCCAACCACTACACCGATTCCCTGGTTTCAACCATCTTCAAGAACACCCGCCGAACGAACCCGCACGCCTATCGGACTCGCGGTGAGCGCCCCTGGAACGACGCTGGTCCCCGCCGCGGCAAGGAAGGCAGCGACGACGACTCACACTTGCCCCTTCTCCAAGCCGTCATTCTGGATTTCTCATCTGTGAACAATGTCGACGTAACCTCAATCCAGAACCTGATCGACGTACGCAATCAGCTAGATATGTACGCCTCCCCCCGCACCGTGCAATGGCATTTCGCACACATCAACAACCGCTGGACAAAGCGCGGCCTGGCTGCCGCAGGCTTCGGTTACCCGACACCCGTCGCTAGTGACGGCGGCTTCCACCGGTGGAAACCCATTTTCAGTGTGGCCGAGATCGAAGGCAGCGCCTCTGCCGCTGCCTGCGCCGAAATGATTGCCAACCAGTCCCACAACAAGGCTACAGATATCGAATCCGGCCTCAAGTCCGATACCAACACAACTGCACGTGAGACTGACGGCATCGAGACCGCATCCGAGAGCTCCGAGGTCATCCGTGAGGACAAGTTCCATCGTGATATCACAGACAGCAAGGCGTACCAGCGTCGTCCTAAGGTTGCGCTCGTGCAGGGCATGAACCGGCCTTTCTTCCATATAGACTTGACCAGCGCTCTTCAAAGCGCTGTTGCTAATTCTTCGGACGTGATTCCACACATTGAGTGATTTTTTCTTTCTACGTTTCATTTGCTCTTCGATTTGCACGGCATCTCTTTTGCTACCCTTTTGCATCGATTCAATTGTTCCTCTCTGGCTTGGAGTCCGATCTGATATACCCCGATTTGACCTGTTAATATGATGTTGATGTTTTTATTTTCCCATTTTCCCCTCTGTACTTTTTGTCACTTAGCACTGGCTATATTGGATGTATTTCATGGCGTTGACCGTGAACAACCTGTTGTTGTGGTATATTCTTTCAGCACTATTTCCTTGATTCGTGTGGGTTGATTTGATTGATATGGGTCTTGTTTATTGGCCCTTTTGCATCTGGGAAGAAACGGATTTTTTTGCGATGGACATGGTTCCTACTTGATTTCTTCTTAAGGAGATACATACCCTTTCTGATACCTATATCTGATAGACCTGCTTGGTGAATACATGTATATTCCACCTCATCGCTTGAACATAGCCTGTGTAGTCTCTTGCCTCACACCCCCACCCTCCGCGTAACCAACCATCAACAAATCAGCCTTCTGATCTGTCCGAATGCCAGAGATCTGATTCATAACTCTTCCAAGTCTAGCCGCGCAACCCTAATTGACCTGATCACATATGGCTCCCCATTGCTGGATTTATCCTCGATGCTGCTGGTGGGGAGAATAAGAGGATTACAGGTTACTGTCCGGCTATTGTCCATGCTGGTGCAATGGCTTCTGTTGCTTCTATCATTCGGCTGAAGACTGATAAGCAACTTCTTACGAAGCTTTAGGCCAGGTGGGTAGGAGTTATGGGTTGGAGAAATCCAATATTGTAGGATACCGCCCTGTAAAATAATATTGCTCAAATAAAGAAATATATAGAGAAAAGACGAGTTCACAACAAGCGAGGCATATACATAGATGGCCGAGGTTCAACTGTGCCCCATAGTTCAAGTACTGCGAAGTACGCCGCATCCACCAGAACGTCAACCTCAAGTCTTTTTCTTCTATTCGGATCTCATTTCCCTTCTCCAGAGATCTGTTCGAAGTCCTTCAATTCAAAATGACTCTGAAACCGGTCAACTGCCTGAGACGCCCAGCACTACACTGCAGAAACCTAGCCGTTCCTCTACGCCAATCACCAATTAAAACATGCGCGCAATATAGCTCTCACTCACCAATGGGCTCAACAACCACCAGCACACGCAAAAAAGTAACAATCCAAACCATCCAAAACCTCTACAAAAAGAACGAACCCATCACAGTCCTTACAGCATCCGACTTCCCCAGTGGCCATGTCGCGGACACAGCCGGAATGGAGATCGTGCTCGTAGGCGACAGCCTCGCAATGGTCGCAATGGGCATGGAAGACACAAACGAAGTAACAATGGACGAGATGCTCCTCCACTGCCGCAGCGTAAACCGTGCTGTCAAGAGCGCCTTCACAGTAAGTATATCCATGCATACATATACAATGCCTACGCCCGGCCAAGTTACCACATCTCACAACTCGCAATAGATCGCAGACCTACCAATGGGCTCATACGAAACCACCCCAGAAAAGGCACTTACATCGGCAATCCGGATGGTGAAAGAAGGCGGGATGAAGGGCGTGAAACTCGAAGGCGGGGCGGAGATGGCGTCTACGATCCGCAAGATCTCACAAGCGGGGATCCCCGTCATGGCGCACATCGGGCTAACGCCGCAGCGGCAGCACTCGCTGGGCGGGTTCCGAGTCCAGGGCAAGTCAGCCGCGGGCGCTGTGAAACTGCTGCGGGATGCATTGGCTGTGCAGAAAGCCGGTGCTTGTATGGTTCTTATTGAGGCTGTGCCGCCTGAGATTGCGGGTATTATTACGCGGCGACTGAGCGTGCCGACTATTGGGATTGGGTCTGGGAATGGGTGTTCTGGACAGGTGCTTGTGCAGGTTGATATGTTAGGGAATTTCCCGGAGGGGAGGTTCTTGCCGAAGTTTGTTAAGACGTATGCGGATGTTTGGGGGGAGGCGAGGAGGGGGATTGAGGCTTATAGGGAGGAGGTTAAGAATAGGGCTTTTCCTTCGGTGGAGTATACCTATGGTGTTTCTAAGGAGGTGTTAGAGGAGTTTGAGAAGGCTGTTGATGAGGTTGCGGAGAATGAGGAGTAATAAACCAGCACCCGGTCTATTTTTGGGTCTTTAGCTGCTTTTCAAGACAATCTGTACATGTGCTGAAGTTTGGGCTATAGTCTTGACCTTTGATATCTGCCCATCAGAGGTGATGGCAATGTATTGTTTCAAGTCGGTTTTCCGCATGCTTTAGGAGGCAAAAGCAATGGAAGACAAAAGTCTCCAAGTATGAATTAAAAGCATAGAACAATTCAATTCGTACAGAGCATATACAGCCCCCATAAACATCACCCAATCAAATCCACCCGCAGCTTTATCCAAGATCCTAGAAGCTGATACTCTTTTCACCTCAAAACACCCCCAACACCAGCCCACCCAAGAACAAACCCGCTAAGCGCCTCACTCATAACACCGCCACCAAACCAAACATCCCGCCAAGCGCCCTTGCGGATAATCTTCCTCGGACCAGCCTTGCCAGCAAGCTGCATGCGCACAGCCTTGCTCTTCTCATTCATTTCAATAACACCCTCGATCTCCCCAGGGGTACTACCGGGGAAGAACGAGCCGGCACCTGCACCACCGGAGCGGTGAATCAGAACCGCATGGAAGAGCCCTGATACCAGGATCGTGCCGAGGAAGTAAAAGGCGAATCCGTAGCCTGATTGGAGGGCTAGAATCCCGGCGGACAGGCCGAGGAGGAAGGAGGTTAGGCTGTGGAGGGAGGAAAGGACCTATTTCCCGGGTTGTTAGTTGGGTGTAACATCTAAAATGAAGGATACAGATGCGGTCTGATATTGGTGTAGGGGATATGATATGCATGTGGTGCGGGATAGGGGCGGTTGGGTGGGATGTGGGATAGTCATACGCGGTTGTTGTGCTGGACGGCCTCAGGTACGAGAGGGGTGATTAGCAGGGAGAGTTCCTGCTTTGTGGGTGCCATTTTTGGCTGGTTTGGTGTCTTTTTATTCGCCGATTTGTTGTAGTTGATGTCTGGATTGAGAGGTTGAGCTATGGCTCTCGGTGTTCGTTGCGGGTAGTGATCACGTCTTGAGCGAAAGTTTGCTGGGCTTGACTAAGATCACAGGCCTTCTGCTCTCCAATAGTGATGAAATTGTTGCACCGGGAAATAGACTTGTGAAGGGGTGGTCACAGCAGCTCTCGGCTTGAACTGATGGAGGTCGGAAGTGGCAGTGAGTTTCTAGAAGTGCACGGACCACATGGTCTTTTTATTCAGATGCTTCAGACGAGTACGGAGTACGGAGTATGTACTAACTACACTACATTCAACAGCATAACTAATTAAGAAAGTATTTAACGTAAATCAAATCACTCATGTTCATATCTACTATTAACCACCCAATCCAATGTTCAATAATGCCGAGCCTTTCTCATGAATCCGTTCACATCACAGCGTTTGATACATTCCGAATCCCCATGTCCTTGATTATGCTGCAAACATAGCAGAAAGAAAATGCCAGTTCCATGATGTCGCTGACTTAAATTCAAATATCACATTAAACCAGATTTTCGAATTTACCATCGACACGGGCCTCCTTGACCTGCTCAAAGACCTGATGGAAAAACGTTAGTGGCTGATCAGAATCAAATAACAAGCAACGCTTACCTTTAGCATTTTGTTACGTGCACCCAAAGCATTGACACCGCGATCTTCCAGGGCCTTATCATCCAGGTCGACCAGTTCCGTCCATTGCAGGTCCTTCAGGTTGTCGGTATACTTATGCAGCCTGAGGGACCGCAGCCAGCTGGGGATATCCTTCAGAAGAGCCGGGTCTGTGGGGTCCTCAGGCGGCTTTGAGCTGCCTCGGCGACCCCGCGGAGAGCGGCCTCGTGTAACCTCCGAGTGGTCTGACAGGTAGCCTTCACTACCAAGACCAAACTGCCCAATGTTCAGAGAGCCGAGGCCATTACCCATAAGAGGGTTGTTGGGATCATAAGCGGCCAAAAATCCATTGTTCTGCGGTGACGTGAAGCCCATCGGGGTCAAGCCACCACCGTGCATAGCAATGCCGGGCGATGTTGGGCGAGACCGTCTACCGGCCATGGCCGCCTGTTGTTGGGCCTGCAGGGCTGCCAGCTGCTGATTGTTGAGAAGCTGACCGGCCATCAAGTGCTGTCCACCCAGGCCTGGGCTAGCCAAGCCCTGGGAGAGAATCGGGTTTCCATGCGAGTTCTTGCCCTGGCCATCATTGGAGCGAGCACGGCGGTACTTGCGCGCGTCATCCAGAGCAATGCGGTTGTTTACCGTCGACAAAGCTGCCAGCTTCATTGCCGTGGCATTAGCCACCATATCTGCGTGGGTGTTGGAGTTCTGGTGCGATTGCTGACCGAAAGTCGCAGTCATCGGAGTGTTAGTCATTGACGCCCAGCTGTGGTTGCCCACATTGTATGGCGAAAGCAAAGGGGGCTCTATGTCGGGGGCGGGAATATTGGCAGTCTGAGGCAGAGGGGAGCGCATGCCCGAGGGCTGGCTGAACTGGCCCATAGGCTGGTGTCCGGAGGATGACTTGGGCCGAGCGATCGGAGGCTGCGTGTCTGAAACACCACGCTGAGCCCACGGAGAGCCAGGCTGTTGACCCAGGCCGTCGGGATTGTTGTCAGGCGCCGAGATGGTGGGGGCCACGAAAGAGGCACGATCGAAGACTGCGCTATTGCGGTTTGATGGAGGTGCATTGCCAGTTTGCTGGGTAAATTCGGCCTTCTTCTTCGCAATGGCCGCAGCAGCATCCGGGAACATCGCATTGATGGTAGAAGGGTCGAGGACAGAGTTGCGCTTCGCGCCAGGGGATGGCGGGGGTCGTCCGAGGGAGTTCCGGGAGGTGTCCATATTAAGCTTCGACATAGCGTCGCTCAGACGACTAGACATGGCATCTACACGAGGAAAAGTAGGTTAGTTACATCTC